GCTGATCATCAAAATCAATAAATAACAGGGTTTTGCATAGAGAGTACATGCCCAAATTAGAGACCTTATTGTAATTTTTGCTTGCCTCACCATGGTCAACATCTCAATAAGTTAACATCTTAGGAACTGTTATATGGTTGGATTAATGAAAGGATCCTTATGGTTCAGAATATTTATAAGAATGTTTTAGAATTAAAAATTTTCCTTGATAGTCTTATACATTAGATCCTTCATTATAATGATTTTAATATCTAATAATTCCCAGAATTAGGATTAACACAGATTGATTAATTAATAAAAGGTCTATGTTAAATAGGAGATTGCAAAAATAAGTTTAAGTAACTTAAATAATCAATCGAATAATCGAAATCGATTGTAAATGAAATTCTTAAGAATATAAAGAGTCAACCAAATATAAAGTAAAATGATAATTTATAGATTCCAAACTATAATATAAAATAATCGAAGCAAAGAATTATATTTAAATCAAATCCATTCATTTTTGACTTTATGAATTAATATTCTATTAAGTAAAATGAATGGTGTTTTGCTATCGCTTTTAATAAAGATTAGTCAATAGTTTTAGCTGGATGTAACAAGGATATTAAAGTGTTTCAACATTTATAAGGGAAACTGAATTAAATATAATTGTTAAGTGAGCATAAAAATTATGTAAATACATTAAATTTCATGAAAAATTCAAATAATTTTGTTTCTGGAAGTGATGATAGTTCAATTATAATATGGTAGATGATAGGAAATAATTAATGGAATTGTTAATAAAAATTGAAAGGACATACAAATTATCTATTATGTTTATTGGTGAACAACAATGATGATCTAATTATCTCAGGTTGTGATAAAATAAAATTTTGGATGAAATAGGATTAATGGTTGTGTTAATAAACCATAAGTGATCATACTTATTTTGTATGTTCCTTAAGCTTAAATGAACAATAAAATAAACTGATATCTTGTTCATATGATTCATAAATATTAGTAATAGAATAGTAAAAGTTGGACAAAAAATGGATTGTTACATAAAAGATAAAATCAGATTAATATGGAATAAGATTATGTTTTATTAATGATAATTAATTTACATTCTAACCCTTTTGTAAAGAATAAATGTATGTATATGAAATGGATAGTAATACAAAATAATATACAAAGACAAAGGAAATTGTTGTAAAGTGTGGTTCAAGTGATGATTGTTGCTTTTTTCCTTAATAATATATAAAGTCAAAAAGTATTCTTGTGAATAAGAATTGCAATAATGTTAATTTAATAAGTAGGAAAGAAAATGGTGACTATATAATTTAATAATCTATTGAATTTGGTACTTATGGTATTTTTGGATAATTGAGTGATGACGGAGAGTATTTGATCACTTGGGATGGTGGATCAAAGGAAATATAAATAAGAAATTTAAGAGCATTATGAGTATTATAATAATATAATTATAATATTTTTAGTATTATATATATTTAAAACATTCTCACGAAATAGAATACAAGTCTTGTTAGAAATCAACATAAATTCTTACTTTATAGTAGTTACAATCTAGTATAATCAGGTTTTCGTGTAATAAATTATATGCCTTTGGTCAATTTTAAATATCTTAAAATAATCAGTTAATCGAGGAGGATTTAGTATTGGAATATAATTTTTGGCTAAATTTGAAAATAAGTGATCTTGTATTTATCTAGAATTAAGTAGAAGTTTTTTTTACGAGGTACTCATGTCTTAATAGTAGATGAAAAACCATTTCATTAAATAGCTTTGAATTCTTTGCTTAAACATTATAATATTAAAGCAGATTTAATTTTTTATGGATTTCAAGCGATTGAAAAAGCAAAACTTATAATTCAATCA